AAATAACTAAACCTGACACAGACTTGAAATTCTAATAACACAATCAGTCTTTATCAAGAGTATTGGCACAGAGACTTCTGGTAAGATGGAGGAATAGGCAGACAAGCAACACAGACCCTCTTCAACAAAGAAAAGAAAAAACAATTGACAGAGATACAGAAGATAATCCTGGAGCCTTGAGCTTTGAAAGGAATTATACAGAAGTGGATTAGGCACAAACTGGTAGAAAAACCTGAACGAAAACAGTGAGTACAGAGATGGTCGGAGCTGCAGACTGTCAGTTACTCTGACGGGACAAACAGCCTAAATATTTCCAAGTAGTGTTGGGACCAGAAACTTGACTTAAAGATCAGTCCTGGTCACCAAGGGCTGCAGTGACGAGTGCGCTGGTGGCATATGACTAAGAAGGAAAACAACAAGGAGAGACAACCTGAGCTGTTGACTTTCTGCTATCCGGAGGACACAGGCATTTTGACTATTTACACATGGCAGCCATTTTGGATATTTAAAGTGACCAAGGGCACAGCCATTTTGAATGTTTATAAGTGACAGACATTTTGGATTTTAAAGTGATAGCATTTTCATTCTGATTCCAGGGAACTAAGAATAGGATCTGTTTGCCAAGGTTGGCAGGGACGTATGAAGGCTGACCACAGGAAAGGAGACAGGTGTTGAGTGTCTAAGTGCTCTCAACTATCAAATAGAGCACAGTACCCTGCTTGTGTAGATAACATACAAACAAAACAAAGAAAATGAAAATCATGGGCAAGTCACTCCAACATACAATCACCAATTAAATATAAACACAAAAATATCACAATGCCTGGGAGACAACAGAGCATCACAGTCCACACAAAGGAGCAAGATAAAGCAGGTGAAACAAGGGACACGGATGTAGACCCAAAACACATTCCTGAGGAAGATGCAGCATTGGAACTCCCTGTTAAGGAATTCAAAAGAATTATATTTAGGTATCTTCAACAAATTGAGAGACAGATCAAGGAAAACACCGAGAAAACCCTAGAACAACTTTGAAAGACAATGCAAGAACAAAATGACAAAATAAATGAAAAATTAGAAATGATACAAAATCTACACACAGAAATCCAGAAGATTAATACTAAATTTTCAAACCGTAAGGTAAGTAGGTAAGACACTGAATGGACAAAGGAGCAGAACTGAATCAATGAAAGATAGAATTAGGGAGATTGAAGGCAAATACCTGAACACTTCTTTGGAAAGGGATTGCAGTGTAGTAAGTTGCTTAGTGTGGCTTTCTATCCACAAGTCTTTGTAAACTCCAAGGTGGGATTTGCTATGAGCAACTGAGGAGCTCTTGATTGCTAAAGTTGACCACATGGAGTATTTCTGTTGGGAGTGGCACAAAACAATGTTCTGGGAGGTTCCCACTCTTTCTCAGGTGCTTAGAGTTCTGATGCTATGATTGGCTAGTTTGGCCACTCTGCCAGGCTCAAAGGGAGGCCTCCTAGAGGCAGCACTCTCTCTGACTGCTGGTTGAAGAAGACATGCTGCTGAAAGAGACACGCGTTCCTGAGACATGCGCTGCTGGGAAAGAGATGCAAGAGACACGCATTGCTGAGTGAGACACCGAGGAACATGCACTGCTGGGAAAGAGACTGTGAGAGACTTGGCTGAGAGACGGTGGGCTGAGAGAGAGACTTAACATTTTTCCTAAACTTGAATTGTAGCCTGATGCTTCCCTAATAACCCCATAATCTGTGAGTTCTGTGTGGCCACTGCAGCAAATTATTGAACCCAGGAGAGAGGTGGTGGGTGCTTTGGGAGGAACAGTTGGAGAAAGGGCTGGAGGGAGGCAGCATGTCTGGCCTTGCAGGAATAGGCCTTGGGCTATTGATGGTGATTCTGTCTTCCTCTTGTGGGATTAGAGGAGGTCAGAACATGTGGCCTCCTTGTCCTTTTTGCAGGGATAAATCAGAAAAAAGGTCAAAACAAACTGAGGAAAACCTAGGGTTCATGTGGGATACCACCAAAAGAAATAACATATGTGTTTTTGGAATTCCAGAACAGGAAGAAACAAATAAAACCACAGAGAAAACTGCTGAAGATAGGTTGGAACAGAATTTTTCTGGTATGAAAGATGAGAATATATCCATTCAGGAGGTCCAACAAACCCCAAACAGGAGAGACCCCAAAAGAAAATCACCTAGACATATCATCATCAAACTCACTAAAACCAAAGACAAAGAAAGGATCATGAGAGTAGCATGGGAAAAATGAAAAGTTACCTACAATGGGCAACCATTAAGACTAAGCTTGGATTTCTCAACAGAAACCATGCAGTGAGAAGACTGTGGGATGGCATATATAAAGCACTGAAAGAGAAAAATTTCCAACCAAGAATTATATACCCAGGAAAACTGTCCTTCAAATATGATGGTGAAATTAGGAGATTTCCAGATAAGCAGAAATTAAGGGAATTTGTTAAAACCATACCAATCTTACAAGAGATGTTAAAGGGTGCCCTTTGGACAGAGAAGCAACAACACCCAACAACTGACCATTAACACACATGATGATATAACCCAGAAACCATCACAGCAATGGAAGTATCCAAGGTAAATAAGCCTACAAGGATGTAAACAGGGAACTAGAGACATCAATTGACAAATGAGGACAACTACAAACCAAAAAGAGGGAAAAAAATCTGTGTTGTTACAGAACTCCTAGATGGTAGGGAAGTCAAGACAACCGCAAGATAGAGCTAACTTTTCTGAAGTTGGGAAGAAAACTATAAATCACAGGGTAACCTCCATGAAAAATGATAAACCTTCATATAAAATAAAAAAGAGGACCAGCATAAGTATTCAGCAAAGACTAAAACAATAGCAATGAAGGAAGTGATAACATGAATCATAAACAAAATGAGCTCAGCATAGAAAATTATATGGAACAAAGAAATCGACACCACAAAAAAGCACATAACAAAAATGAAAGCAACAAATTCATATTTGCCAATAATTACATATCTGGCAAGGGACTTATCTCTAAGATTTATAGTGGAAGAGTGGATGACCAAACTATGGTACATACACATAATGGAATGCTATGCAGCAGTATAGAATAATGCAGAGTCTGCAAAACACCGCATAATATGGATGAACTTGGAGGACATCATGCTGA